GCAATAGAATGACCAAAATTATGAGTTGTATGTATTCAGGGTTTTGACCAAAATAATTAAAAATATTCTTAAAAACAGTTAATTTAGTTAAATACAAGTGAATTAGCTTAGAAACAGTTATATTTAATGTATTAAAGAGTAAAACTGGCATTTGGTAACATTTTATATCATTTTAAGCCTATTTTGAGCCTTATTCGTAACTATTATAGTGACTATTTTGTGTCTTATAAACACCTATAATGCAATGCTCTGATTATAAATATTATTTTTTAAATCTAATAAAAACTGTATTTCTATTACTTGACATTCAGAGTACTAGTTCAATTTAAATTATCAGTATTTAACGTAGATAGTTATTATCTTATATAAATTTTAAGATTTAATTATTATTAGTAAATAGGCAAGTATTAGTATCGTTAATAGGATTACTGAATTACAATAAATTCTTTGCTATTAATACCGTTTTTCACACGACTTTCACTTATTATAATTGATATAAAGTTATTAGATATAATTTATTAACGCCATTATTGGGCGTATATTTTATAATATTTGTTATTATAACATTTCTTAAATAATATCAACATATAAATACTTATTAAATAATTGATTTAACAAATATAAATTTATAATATTTATTGAATATATAATTCATTATCAAAATACAAAAATTATAAATGATAAATTTTTTAACTATAAACATAATATAATTTATAAAAATGGGTGATTTGTTAAAAAAGTTTTCAAATTGTGATATAATTCCAACAGATATTAGCAAAAACATAATAAAATTACATGTTTTTAGTGATTTTGATAATAATATTAATGTATTATTCATAACAAGTGATGATCTAATCTACGGATTCGGTAATAATAGCAATGGATGTCTAGGTTTTGGTCACAACAAACCTATACTATTGCCACAAATAGTGGAAGAATTGTGTTATAAAAATATGCAATACTTTATCAATGGATGTGATTTTGTATTAGCAGTGAATGACATGAATAGGGTATACGGTTTTGGTGAAAATAAATATGGCCAATTGGCTCAGGGTGATAATATTGATCAGGTTTGTCTAAAGCCATACAATGTTTCATATTTTGACGATAAAAATGTTATACAACTTACTTGTGGTACTCGACACACACTGGCCCTTACCCGAGATGGCCGGGTGTATGCCTGGGGTGACAATAGTTGTGGTCAAATTGGATGCGGAGATTATATTGATTATATTTCGACACCATTTTTGTTACAATTTACTGATATATGTATAATAAATGCCATTTCTTGTGGTTATCGCTCGTCATTTGCCATCACATCCGACGGACATGTGTTCAGTTGGGGCGACAATAGAGGCCATGAATTGGGACACGATTTAGATGATGATAAGATATTTAAACCAAGATTATTATTAACAATAAGTGATGTGAAAATAATCAGTTGTCTTAGATTTGGTACATATTTTTTGACAGACAATGAATTTTTATATTTTTGCGGAGAATGTGTTCAAAATAATACAAAAGTGATTGAAAAAAGTCCGAAACAAATACAATCTGAGCATCGATTCAAAAATTTGCAACAATTCAAGTCATTTATATTTAGTAGAAATAATCAAATTTGTGTTGAAATGAATGATAAAATACATATAATTGCAAACACCAAAGAAATTATTGAAACAAATTATAATACTGTTGCAGAATTTTATGCCAACGAACACCAAATAACTTATAATACATTAAGTTTTAATAATTCAAACGATAATTATTATAACAATAATTTCATTGAGATGTCAGCCATAGGTTTGGGGGCTTTTGGGGCTGTATTTAAAGTAAGACATAAATTGGATGATAAGATTTATGCCGTTAAAAGAGTACAATTTGAGGGTAAATATACTTCAATAATCATTTATAACAATTAATAAAGTTATATTTGAATTTATATTATTTAAATACTTGAAATCTTTTTACATAGATTTTAGTGAAGAAAAGAAACACAAAGTTTTCAAAGAAGTGAAAACACTGTCAAAACTGAACTCACTTTTTGCGGTTAAATACTACCACTCGTGGACTGAAGGCATACATCTGTACATTCATATGGAGTACTGCCCGCAAACACTCGGGTCTGTACTCAGAGACAAACCACTAGTGTTTGGCAGACAATCGGCGGAATACATGACTATTGATATATACGAGTATTTCATATCATGTAAAATATTTCGGGAACTTTTGCAATGCGTTCAATACATTCACGAACAAAACCCACCAATCATTCATCGGGATATAAAACCCGATAATATATTAATTTTATACGACAAAAGTTTTAATACATTCATTAAATTGGGTGACTTTGGTTTGGCCACCGAACACAACACCCCCTCCCAGAGTCACACACAGGGGGCGGGAACTCCGCAATTCATGGCACCCGATGTGGGCCTCAATAAGCACTACGATATTAAAGTAGATATTTATAGCCTCGGAATACTTGGTTTGCAATTGTTTGAAATAAACACCACGTAAGAAATAATATCAAATTATAATAAACATTTTCATTCAATTATGTAACTTTATATTTTCAGAGATCAGGCAAAATACAGTTCAACAAATTTTTTTAACCAATTCAATCGTTTACACGATATAATTATATCCATGATTGAAGCGTTGCCTACAAAACGGCCGACCAGTGGTCGAGTACTACTTGAGTATAACCAGTGGTCAGTCGACAGACATATAATTACGGCAAACGATACAGAATTTAATGAAATAATTAGTGAACTCTCAACGAAAGACAACTCGTTTTTCTACGATTTCTTAATGTCTAAAACAAATTCAAAAGTATCTGTAAAAACTGTAACACGGAAATTAACCAAAAATGACATTGGTCAACCCACAGACTTTCGGCACATTACCCACATTGGTTGGAACCCTTTAACAGGTTTTGATGTATACCCCGATCATTAATACCATCTAGTTATAGGGAATTCATAATTAATATTATTTAATTACATTAAATATGGATTATTGTGTTAATTAATGTAATAAAATATTGTTGTACATATTTTTGACAAAAATAAATATTTTATTTATTGTTTAAGTTGTTTATTATTTATTTAAGAAATAATATTAATTATTTTAAAAATATTTCAGTTAATATAGATATTATTATAAATTTATATTTTCTATTATAATAAGTCTTTAAAATGTAATAATAAAATGTTATGTGTTTTTAAACTATTTAATAAAAAGTCTAACGGTATATAAATATACAATATGTGTCATCAAATAATATCATTAAATACTTGTTTCCAATGGTTTTCACTGATAAATATAATTGTTATATAAGTTTTATATTGTATTATGTCTTATGTTGTAATCAACAATTGAATATGGTATTTCTTATAAACAACTCCCAAATATAAATAATAATTTATTTTGAAACTAACAATTACGTGTGAACTTGTGAACTTCAAATGGACCCTGATTCAACTGTAACATATTATGAAAAACAATTCATTGAATTGTCGCCCATAGGTTCGGGTGCTTTTGGGACTGTATTTAAAACACAACACAAATCGGATGACAAGATATATGCCGTTAAGAAAGTAGAAATAAAAGGTGTGTTTATTTTTACATTAAGATTACATTTTAAAATATGTAATAAATTATTTTGACAGACTTTAGCGATGATAAAGTAAACCGAGTGCTCAATGAAGTGAGAATAATGGCGAGACTGGACTCAAAATGTGTGGTCAAGTACTATAACTCGTGGAGAGAAGGCATACATCTCTACATACAGATGGAGTACTGCTCGCAAAATCTTAAGGCAGTGCTTAGAAACAAACCACAAGTATTTGGCAGACAATTACCGGCGGAACCGATGAAAGACATCGAGTACTTCATATCATGTGAAATATTTCGGGAACTCTTGGAATCACTTCAATATCTTCACCAACAAAACCCTCCTATTATTCATCGGGATATAAAACCAGATAATATTTTAGTCTTATGTAACAGTAATAATGGGGTGTTTTTAAAACTCGGCGACTTTGGTCTGGCCACTTATCACGACCGTTTAACTATGACTCAATGCGTGGGAACGCATGGATATATGGCCCAAGAGGTGGGCCTTAGGCAATACAATTGTAAGGCAGATGTTTTTAGTGTGGGTCGCATTGGACTTGAATTGTTTAACCTAGATGAGTATGTAAATTACTATTTAACCTATCTGAATTATAGATAATATGAATAAGGTGTTATTTTATTTTAGTTGTGATAATCCAACTGAAGTCTATAATTCCTCGTCATTTTCGGTCAAATTAAACATTTTGTATAAAATTATTGGACAAATGGTTACCGGAATTCCTGCCAATCGGCCGACCAGTGGTCGAGTACTACAGGACTATAGCCAGTGGTCTATCGACAGGAATATAATTACTGTAAACAATGAGGAATACAATGAAATTTTAAATACACTTAATTCTAATAGTAATTTATTTTTCTATGAATTTTTATTATGTAAAATATCCTCTGATTTACCCCCTATTGAAAAAAGTTCACCCGTAATTGATCCAAACTTATGCAATCATTGTACACACATGTGTGCACTTGTGTTATGTATTGTTATATCAATATTAATTAACCGACCCTTAAGAAGAAGACATTTTCATCATTAAATAAACTCAATTTCATTCAAATCAACCAAGGGAATTTTAAATGGAAAGCGATTTACTGTTGTCGACACTCTGTATAATATAATATACAAATAAATAATAGAATTGTACTGTACACTAATTGTAATTACATTTATATATTATTATTATTAATAAAATTTTAGTAAACTTTATTTAGTAAATTTGAGTAAATATCTTTACAATAATTGTAGTAAACAATTATTATAAATATGTTATGCTTTTTGAATGGAGGTTACGCTTAATGTTACGCGCTAAAAGTTGTATAAATGTTAGAAAATTAAAATTAGCTGAGACACAAAAACGTAATTTATTGGCAACTTGTAAAAATGGTTTAATAAATCTATAGTTATTATCATTAATTAAATCATTAATTTTTGTAATAAAATAACTGTCTCCATAGGTTTTTGCTGATTATTGTAATTTCAACCATTGAGTTTATTTTATGTGTGCAAAAATATGTAATTGTAACGATCTAGTGCGTATATGTAATTTATTAATGAATGACAAAATTATTTGTAATAGTATGACAAAAAAACAAGATACTATTACAAAATATAAAGTTAACAAGTTATAAAGTTTTTGATTAAATAAAAATTTTATTAATTAATTAATAATTTTATGAAAATGAGTGAATTATTAGAAAAGTTTACATTTAGTGATAAAATCTCGTCGAGTATTAAGAAAAAAGTTTCAAAATTACATGTTTTCTACGATTGGAAGAAAAATAATAATATATTATTGATAACAAGCGATGATATTGTTTATGGTTTCGGCAGTAATAGTGATGGATGTCTCGGTTTGGGACATAATATGCCTATACTTTTACCAAAAATGATACCAGATTTATATAATCAAAATATACAATACTTTGTCAATGGACTGAATTTTGTTTTAGCAGTGAATGAAATGAATATTATATATGGTTTCGGTAATAATATTTGGGGACAATTGGCGCTGAGTAATAAAATAGGCCAAGATTGTATTAAACCAGAAGTAATACCGTATTTTATTGACAAAACTGTTGTTCAAATCAGTTGTGGTTATATACATACGCTTGTGCTGACCAGTGATGGCCGGGTGTATGCCTGGGGTGGCAATGGTTTAGGGCAAATTGGTTGTGGAGATAATACTGAATACATTTGTACACCAAATGAGTTACATTTTGGTGATAATCATAAAATAAAGTCCATTCACGCGTCTTATGGCTCTTCATTTGCCATCACATCCATTGGACATGTGTTGAGTTGGGGCGACAATAGAGGCCATGAATTGGGACTCAATATAGACGACGAAAGAGTATTTAAACCCCGACTGATCACAACATTAAACGGTGTAAAAGAGCTCTGTTATAGTATTAATGGCACATATTTCTTAAAAAATAATAGTATATTTTTTTGTGGAAAATATAATGATGGTAAAATCAAAATCATAACAAGACAGCCAACACAAATACTATATGAAAATGATTTCCAAAAATTACAACAAATTCATATATTTATTTAAATGATATAATATATGTGTTACTAAATAGTAAAATATATCAAATACTAAACAACCACGAATTATTTGCGACAAATTATAAGAACTTTGCTGATTTTTACGCCAATAAACATCAAATGTCTTATAATACAATTGAATTAAATAAAGTAAATGCTATAAAATCCAATGAAGATAAAACTATTGAAAGTTTCCACATTTCAGATGTTATTAATAAATATAAATCACAATTCATTGAGATATTAACCATAGAATCGGGTGGTTTTGGGACTGTATATAAAGTCAAGCATAGATGGGATGATAAGATATATGCCGTTAAAAGAATACAATTTGAAGGTAAATGTCATTGCATTTTGCTTAATATGTAATTAAATCAAATTTCAAAATTTTTTGCAATCGATTTAGACGAAAATACTAAATATTCAGCTTTAAATGAAGTAAAAATGTTGGCAAAATTGGATTCAAATTTTATAGTAAAATATTACGACTCATGGATTGAAGACCCGGAACTGTATATTCAGATGGAGTACTGCACACAAAGTCTTAGGACTGTAATTGAGGACAAACCGCGAGTATTTGGGAGGCAATCAGTGGACACTAGCAATACTAAACCAATGGATATCATTGAATATTTCATATCGTGTGAAATATTTAGGGAACTCTTGCAATGCGTTCAATATCTGCATGAATTGCAACCACCGATCATTCACCGGGATATTAAACCTGAAAACTTTTTGATTTCATACAATGGCAACAATAGGTTTATAAAACTTTGTGACTTTCATTTGGCCACTAATCAAGATCGTACAGCTCTGACCCGGGGTGTGGGATCTCCTAAATATATGGCACCTGATGTGGGACTTTCCCAGTCGTATAATTTTAAAGTCGACATTTATAGTTTGGGTCTAATTGGATTTGAGTTGTTTGAAATTAACAGGTAAATTTTCTTGTGTTACGTTACATTTGCGGTACAAAATTGTTACATCATCACTATTAATTATAATCTTTATTAATTTACATGTTTTTAATAGTAAAGAGTATAATTAATTAAATTTTTTATTTATACAATCATTACAACATTTTAGTGAAAATCCGACAGAAAAATACAAATTCATCACATTTTCAGCAAAATATAGCAAATTGTGTAAAATTCTGTTAACAATGGTGGCAGGAATGGCCGGCAAACGACCGACCAGTACTGATATATTACAAGACTATAACACATGGTCAATTAAGAAACATATATTTATCGCAAACAAACAGGAATTCAGTCAAATTCAAATCACACTTCAAACTACTGACAATCAATTTTTCTACAATTTTTTATCATCAAAATTATTAACTAATTATGGGGAACTTCCGGGATCTAATTTATCACATTATTATTTAAACATTTATGTAATTATATTATGTATTATTGTCTTATTTGTAATTAATTTGTTTATCTGTGGAGCTTTATTTAGCACTTTTAATTATATATAGTCATTAGAGTTGCTCAACTATTTTGAAAAATTTTAAATATAATAGTAATGTTTAAATTAAATATTTATAAATGAATATTGTATAACAGATGAGCTACTCTAGTGACTATAAATAGTTGAGTGTTAAATAAAGTTTTAAAATTAATTAACGTTCTTTATACTCATTCAGTTGTATGTGCTGTGGACCACCTGTGGTCAGTATTCCTAGTATTAAACTAAACTAAAATAAATTAAACTAGCAACTCTTTATAAAAAATCCAGTATAAATAATACGAACATTAATTAAGCAATTAAAGTTAAAATTGTGATATAATTCTTGTAAATTATAGTGAAATTATTTTATATTTAAAGTTTTTTTTAATAATTCAAATAATGTATTATTTATATAATATAATGATATGTTCTAGTTTCAGGCTCTTCAATTACGCCATCTTTCTTACCTTGAGTAGAGTGCTACCAAGTTCTAATATACATTAGTCATTTAATAAAAACATTAATGTATATCACTAATGTATATTAAAACTTTATAGCACTCTACTCAAGGTAAGAAAGATGGCGGAATTGGTTACCTAGATTCTAGTTTGATTTGCCATCATGTGAAAAATAACATAGCAACTAATTAAAACAAGGGTAATTTTTGACAACTTTTACATCAATGCACTTATCATTAGAGATATTAATATATTAAAATTGACTTAAATATGTCGAGTGAACTTTTCATAACAAATATTTTCCAAGATTTTAGTGAAAAGATAAAACAACGAATTCTGAGAGAAATGAAAATTTTGTTAAAATTGTACTCAAATTTTGTGGTCAAATACATCACATCATGGCCTGAGTCTAACCATCTGTACATTCAGATAGAGTTGTGTTCGCAAAGTCTTAAATCCGTTCTCAAAGACAAAGCCATTGTTTTCGGGCGACAACCGGAAAACCCGATCAATGTTTACGAGTATTTCATTTGCTGTGAAATATTCACCGAAATTCTAGAATGCGTTCAATTTCTCCACTCATCGGATCCGCCGGTCATTTATCGAGACCTAAAACCCGAGAATATATTAATTGAACACAACTTTATGTCAAATCGATTCATAAAAGTGTGTGACTTTGGTTTGGCCACCGATCACGACATGCCATCCATGAGCCACACGGCAGGAGCGGGCACTTCAGCTTATATGGCACCAGATGTACATCAGTATGATTATGATTATATAAAATATTACTTTTAAAGTCTTTTTTTTTAATTAATCGTTACAAAATATCATTTTTATTAATATAATATATTTTTTATTTTATTCCAATAATGCTTCTATAAAAACATATAGTCTAGCAACATTTTCTGCTAATATTAGTAAATTTTATAAAATGATTTGACACATGGTTCAGTATATGCACAATCGGCCGACCAGTCCTCAAATCTTTGGGGGACTATAACTAGTGGTCAATCGATAGAGAAATAATTACGACAAACGATACAGAATTAAGTGAAACATTAAATTCACTGAAAGACAAAAGTAACAAATTTTTCAATAACTTTTTGATACGTAAATTAAATAAAACAATTTTGTGCACTGATTTCGATAAACACATTGAGACCGATATAATTGATGGACAACTTGAGTCCATTATTGACCAAACATTAACTAGTCATCATGATGCATCTATCAGCCTGCATCTAATCACAAACCCACAATACGCTAATCACGTTTTTGTATTGATCATAATAACCAACAAAAGTGAGATCCAAGAGTTGGAATCAGTCAAGAATTAACATCACATGATTTTGGTCGGTCATATAGCCACACTCTATGTGCTCCGGGAGACGGCCAAAAAAGGCGCCAAAATCAACTTATGCATAATGAGGCCAACATTATTCAAACCAGACTAAACTCCATTAAGTTATGGCTCGAAGTGGCACAGGTATGCATAACGCGTATAATTTGACAATACATGCTGGTTATGTACTAATGACGTGATTATTAGGTAATGACAATATTGGCCGAACTCTTGCAAACAATGAACGCCGAAGAGCAGAAACTGAGAACACAAGTGACAAGCATATGTAAAAAAGAATGCGTGGCTTCGAGACGAGTTGACAAATACTCAGCACAAAATTCAGGACGCGGTTGACGTGCTCTAAAAAGCAGCGCGTAGACCTTGAGCATTAAATTACAATAAACCAAATGTAGATACATAATGTGATGGAAACCCTATCTCAAGATTCCGAAAAATTTTAACTAAATCGTTTACAAATAACGTATTAATTTACATATAAATAAATTAAACAATATGAACACATTTTTAAGTATATTTACTGAACAAAAAAGTTTGGTTCACCAAAAAGTTATGTAACGGTAATTGATTTTGTTTACCATAACAATTATCTTAATAACATTACTGATTTTTCACGAAGACCCAAACAGATTGGCAAATGTATTTCAATTTTGCACCCAAAAACTGGTTGTTTTGCGATTGTTTTAATGGACAATATGCATAAATAATATTTAAATATAAGGAAAATACCAATGTGTATATTATGAATGTGCTCAACAACTATGACTTTATGTAATATTAAATCAATGCAAGTTTACATAGTAAAACCTTTCCCAAAGTTCTCCTACCACATTCTTTGTGTATATAATTTAACTATTATATTTGTTATTAGCACTTAGAAGGAAATACAGTGAACATCCCCTAGCTGATCCAGTCGTGGTTGATATAGTCATGTCCAGTATTGTATGGAGATTCATAAACAATAGTCAAAATGTGCGAATGGCCAGAATCACAGGAGTTATGGCCAAATTTCTAGACTTTAAAATTGTGTAATGTTAAGTTTCCGACATAGTATTAAGCAGTACAAAATGAACCTTGTTTATCAGTAATCATAAATTACAAATGAAGCGTTTTATCTTAAATAGTGCTAAGTGATACCATTGTTCTCTATGGGAAGTTAGAAATATCTGTAACTTAAAATTTACTCGATTTATTTTAACAAACTATATACCAAATTGTTCATAATAATATATGACCTGATACCTATATCAGGATTTTTTTTTGTAAACCAACTGAGTAGGAGTATTATGCTCAGAAAGGACAAATTTACTAAATTTATATTGATTGCCATTTAAAATATACCTGTTCAATTTTAATCATCACTATGTCAAATTGTTTATAATTTAATACAGAATAAATATAATTAGTTAAGTTTACTATATTTTAATTCTACACTATACTAATCAAGTAGTAACTTGTTCTACAGTATGTCAATTTTGAATGTTTTAAACAGATATCAATTATTTAACTAATAATTACCTCTTCTTCATTTTATTATGAACAATTTGACATAGCGATGGTCAAAATTGAACAAGTGTATTTTAAACGGCAAGCAATATAAATTTAGTAAATTTGTCTTTTCTGAGCATAATACTCCTACTCAGTTGGTTTACAAGAAAAATTCTGATATAGCTATCAAGTCATATTTTATTCTAAACAATTTGGTATATAGTTTGTTAAAATCGATCAAGTAAATTTTAAGTTACAGATACCTCTTACTTCCCATAGAGAACAATGGTATCAGTGATATCACTTAGCACTATTTAAGATAAAACGCTTTAAATGTTTTTTATTTTATTTATATTATAATCTGAGTGAAATGCATAAGAAAACAAAATTAATAAAACATTTAATTTGCGATACAACCAGGAAGACATAACAATTGTTAGTAACCTTTTGTCCAGTAATACTTAAATTGCAATAGATTATGCCAGTAAAAATAATTTATATTAATATATTTAGATAACTAGAACAACTGAGTTAAGACAATTTATGTAATCCCATACAAATTAAGTATTAAAATACAATGTGTTATGATCGAGAGCTGTGTCTACCTTGGGAGTATATCTATTAAATTAATAATAATGATATAAGTATATACCATATGTGTGGTATAAGCGGGCCTTCACCACGGTCTCGGGAAGCCGAGGCCAGTAGTTTTTTGTGGCCTGGAGGGTGTGCCGGCTATTGGTGTAGACCACCGTTTATGTGCACACCCTGTCAGTTGGCCAGCGGCCTGTCGGGCGGCGCGCGCCGGGTGCTGTCGCTGCCGTTCACGTAGTTCACACATTTATTGTGTGTTTAGGTGACGGCCGGACCGGCGCACCGGGTGTGCCGTGTTGTGGCTGTGCCGACGAAGTTGTGGCCCACACTTGATGGCCACCTGACCTGTCCTTTTCCCGCTATTGGGCACCGCCGATAATGTTGACATATACATAGGCTTTAACATACGGCAAACACACAGATTTTGATGTCAGCCTTATGTTAAAGCCTGTGTTACTATTGATTATGGCCAGTAATGGTTGGCCGCCGACCCCCAGTCCACCCGAACCCCTCGAAATACAAAAAACAATAATTAATAATTAGTTTATTATAAAACAATAGACAAACACTTACCATATGGACAAACACTTACACAACATTTATTACTAAAAGTACATATGTACTGTAAAGGGAGATAAGACACACATTGAAAGACATAGAAAACACTGATAAACATTAAACATAAAATACAAAATTGACAAAAATTATGACACAAAAATAATTATTTGACAGAAAACAAACGGAAATAACCGAACAAAACACATAATAGACAGAAACAAATAGATAAAAACACTTAAAAAATTAAAAGATTTACAAAATTAAACACAAAAATTGTTGACTAAAACTAAATGTGTTGTGAACGACGGCACATCTGAAGAGTGTAAAGAACGGATGTGAACCAAAGTTCACAACACACTTTGGGTATATAAGTCAAACACAATTTGATGTAAAGTTAATCATTTTGCTCTGAGCACAAATACATTTAATAAAATATACTTTTATTGAACACATTTGAGCAATTGATTCCGAAACTCAGTGGCGTACCTTTGGACGACTCCCAACGACATCGTTTGGCCGCA